ACCTTGAAGTCTTTTGAAGTTTGATGAATACATCTCCTTGACATAAAATCTACAACAAAGTTGAAAGATTCGTATACTATTTCAGATATTTTAGAGCAGGATAATCGATTTTAGCAGAAATGTGAACTTTTATTCGAAGAAGAAAAAAGAACAGAGTCCACTGTTTATTATGGACTTCAATTATCAGCAATATATGAGTTGAAATCGAACATGTTATTTGACAATTAATTACTGTCTCGTTACTGTTCTGATCTCGCTGGTTCCGTCCGACATGCACTTAATATGTGCACCACCGGCGCGAAAGTGGCCGTATTGATGATGAAAAAATTTGGAGCGCGTCGGTTGAGTAGTCGCACTGTAATCAAACCAACTGTTAGACTCTATTGCTAGGAGTTTTTAAAGCAGAATGAATATCAAACGCTGAAAAATGAAGATAATACATTTAATCATTGACAAATTCACTCTTTCTAAAATATCGTTTGTTTCATTATTCTGTTTCATGTTCATTTGTTCAATGTGTCAATTAAATCGTAATCAAATATTGATTAAAACTGACCCTGATAACAAATTGAACTAACTTAAAATTTAAAAATATGCGCTAATTTAATTACAAAATAATTTCAGATGGAAGTGAATACTCTATTAGTAATTATTATTTTGCCTCATTAAATATTCTTTTGTAGTATAATCAACTTTATGTTGTTGTTCTTAGGTAAACATTCTTAGAAATGAAGTACTATTGTTACAAAATATTATATAGCAACAAATATGAGTAAAAAATTGACAACAAAAAATTTTCAGTTATTGGTAGGCATCATGTAGATTTCTGATATGTACGGTCAAAACGACATAATTTGGTCAAAATATCTCAAAATTTCTCAATGATAAGTTCAGTTTTAGGCACATTTCTATAAATACAGAATTTCCTCAAACAAATGCATTTCCTTTGCTTCTCTATATTAGGATCCTAGTCAAAATCTATTCATGCTAAAATGCTGAATTTCATATTTGAGCTAAATCATCAACTAAATAATACATAATAGTATCTCGAACTAATAAAAACTCGTCAAATATTTTTTCATACGAATTCAAGAACAACGAACTATTATTCTTGCAGATCTGAGATTAAAGATTTTCGTATATATTATTTTTTTTCATCGCGTCGAGTTGCTTATTTAGACATTCTCAATATCGTTCAAAATTCTTTACTGAACAATTATTCATTTACCATAAAGATTTACTAGAACAACAAAAGTCCCTCAATAAATTACGTGAATTTCATTCTGTACTTAAAGAACAAGATGAAATTCATCTAAAAAAACTCTCAAATATTTACATTCAATTTGTTAATCATCAAAATGAATATAAAATTTCCGAGAAATCTCTTAAACAAACAAATGAAGATTTAATAAAATATGTAAAAGTTCGATCAATCTTAGGTCGTATGGTTGTACGACGAATAAACTTATGTCAATTATTATATAAAAAATTAGCTCGGTTTGATGAATATATCCATCAACGAGAACAAAATATTCATATTATTTCTAAATGTATTAATTCATTAAAAATTCAAATTCGTCAAAATCGTGATCAAATTAGAAAATTTATTAAAAGAAAAGATAAATTCCAACTTCAGGTAAAGTATCATTCACTTAACTCGAACACGGCTACTTTTAGGGCTACCACTTATCGTTTATCGAAGGTTCGTGCTGACTCCAATTGATAACATAAACAACGGGTGGCCGATAAATAATTATACTGTCAGTATTTTCAATATTTCTTCTCTATTATCCCCATGATAGAAGCGCATTTTTTAATCAAAAGATAGCTCTTGAAATTCTCTACAAAACTATTTACGACTGGACCCCAAAACTGTTTTTGATATATTTCAAAAAAAAGACGAACAATAAAGATGTACAAAAAATTATAAAAAAATAAATATTAAAACAGTGATTATGGATGTTACATCAATTTTTTGTTCGTTGTTTTTATCGTAGTAGCTATGTTTTTTGTTTGTGCGATTACAGAATCACGAAAAACTGGTAGATCATGTAGATCTTGATGTGTTCTACAACTTTTGTTTCAGAAAAGAAGCCGAACTTTTACTCAAAAGAAGAGTTATGAGATCCAAAAGGAGCAGAGCACCACTTTCTTTCAGAGAATGTAGAGCCGTCAGCGTGTGAGTGTCGTAAATCTTTTCCTTAGCGAAATTTCGGCTACCTCTCTGGAATAAAAGTTGTAGAGCACATCAAGATCTACACGATCTACCAGTTTTTCGTGATTCGGTAGTCACACAAACAAAAGAATAGCTACTACGATAAAAACAACGAACAAAAAACTGATGTGACATCCATAATCACTGTTTTAATATTTATTCTTTAATAATTTTTTGTACATCTTTATTGTTCGTCTTTTTTTTGACATATATCAAAAACAGTTTTGGGGCCCAGTTATAAATGGTTTTGTAGAGAATTTCAAGTGCGATCTTTTGATTAAAAAATGTGTTTCTATCATGGGGATAATAGAGGAAAAATACTGAAAATACTGACGGTATAATTATTTATGGGACATCCATTATAACGCACAAAGTTGTTAGTAGTTTATCGTGAACATGTGAAACCTGTGAAGAAGACTTCATTACAAGAAAAAAAGGCATGAAAAAAAATTGATTTGAACTATACGCATTTAGTCTTTTATCATGATCTACTTAGAACTGCTTTATGCTCAGAAGAACTGTATTAACGAGGAAACTTTCCCCACTGACACCCACCATTTGAGTTCGTATTTGATTCATAGACAGATGGCAATGAGACTAACAAAAGCCTAAAATGGTCCCTCTACATGAGCCTTTGTTATCGAGTTATAATCGATTTGGTTGCTTTTCGATTCATTTGTAGATAGCTTCCAAAAAACTGAAAACAATATTCGTTCATCGAGATGTTGAATTTCGAAAAATAGTCCTTGATCCTAGACATGTCACCAAAACTAAGTCTACTTGAAAATTCAATAATTCGATGAAGGAACATTCTTTTCGGTTTTTTGGGGAGTTATCTACAAATAAATCGAAAAGCCACCAAATCGGTCATAACTCGATACCAAATATCAATGAAGACCAACCTTTTTAGGATTTTGCTATTGCGATAACTCTCTCATAAGTGTATCGAACCTATATCTAAAAGGACATGGCTCGAGGAAATGTTATAAATGTGTAATATAACAGTAGATCTTACTTGACACCACGTGAATTATAGGTAATCAGTAAGCGCTCACATATACTTCGGAATGACCTATTCACATAAATAATAGTTGAACGTAACTGGCAGATATCATTAGCATATCTCAAAGACAAGTGGTTTCGTGTGTTCATAATAATGTGATAACACTGTTTGGAATCTGCCCAGATCTAAAGTGATCTTGTTTGAGTTAACTTTTAACATTTAGGTTGTGAAAGTTCATATTGATAAGATGCTTGATCATGCGCATGAAAAACAAAAGCTACTTACGAAACAAATTTTTCAACGACGTTTTTCCAAAAAACATCCACGTTAGTTTTTTTTTTTTTTATTTTTCAAAAAACAAGAATTTCTTTTCTTTAGTTAATCCTTTACCATCAGAAGAAATGACATATTTAAAAAACAAACTTTATATAATAAAAAGTCGTTTGATAAAAATAATTTGTCGTGGAATTATTTGTAATTTAGTTCTGATCTCGATTCAACAAGATTTTTCAAATCATTTAGAATATTATACATCAAAAACTCATAGAGAAAATCATATAAATTTAAATCTTATACGAACAAATCTTTATCAATTAATGCGTCAATTAAAAGCAAAAACAGCTGAAAATAATATGCTTATTGATTATCGATATTATTTTCAAGTAATTCATACACATACCATACAACAACTTTTACAATGGAAAAGTAAATTATAGACTTTATATGATTATTATTTTTTATTTAAGTTTCTGTTTAGATTTCAATTCAACACATGACTTATAAACTTGTTATCATTCTTTTGTTTTTTCTGCTTGTTTGTTTAAATGATTCAATTAAATAAAAATCTTGTTTTCATATATATAGACATAAGGATAGAAGATCTCATGATAGTAACAATACTTAATAATTGATTAATAAATTCTTTTTTTCTTTTACTTAACGCTCAATTACTCTTATGTTTTATTCATCATTTGACTTAAATGATTCACTGCATATAATTCAATAGAATATAAATTCCATTATCAGTCAATGATACGAGACGAAAATACAGCAAGCTGTCGATCCAATTATTTCTTTAATTTTTCAAAAATTAATATCTTCAAAGAAAGACCATTTCTTTTCAAATGAAATTAGTGACCTAAATGACATGCCAGTCTAATTAACTTTGAGGGATTCATCAAAATAGAAAATGATCTTGCTATCGTTTTACATGTACTTGCTCAGTGTGCACGGTGTGAAAATACATTCATTGACATCCATCCCAACCATTTGCATTCAATCTCACAGCGAGAATTTTTCAATCCAATTGCTAATGGTACAAACACTGGCATTCTATGCACCGAATTTTCAATTTATTAAAGCTTGAAATTGTGAAATAGTTTCTCTTACTGGTATTACAAAATCTTAGAGAATTTCATATTTTTCGATGTTATCAGTCTGTGAACGTCCTTATTTGATATACATCATGTCCTACAGATGCCACTTGTTACAAATGAAATAATAACATTAGTGTCAATGTTAATTATTTTTCAAATTACAATAATTTTAAGTGAATCTAATTTCAAATCATTCAGGAATAATCTATGTTATGAATACGATTAATATTTCTTCGCAAAACAAATAGTGCTAATATTCTATTCGTTTTATATTCGTCCAATTAACATCTTACGTTACACTGTGTCGTTTTTGGGAAACATGTATTTTGAGAAAAAAAACCCAATCGAAGCATGAACTAAGTCACGTTTCTTTTATTTTCTAGTTCTTAATATAGAGTCATAATTAATGGCCTTATCAAGTGACGCCATTAACTCAAATAAATCATCACAAAATCTATGCCGGTTTGTTTGTATTTTTATTATTTTAGTATTCTCTCAATCTGAAATATTCTGCTTAGATATTTTCTTTCAAATGGATGTCGTTATGGTGATAAATGTTTCTATTCACATGATCAATCAAATAGTCAAATAAATAATATTTGTCGATATTATTTACGAGGCAAATGTATCTATGGTGATCGATGCAGGTTTGGTTTAATCTGTCAACTTATTATTATTATTTTTTCACTATAACATTCTTTTCTTATAAAGATATGATCATGTACAGCCAAAACCACAAACAACTCTTTCTTTGAGTGAAACAACAACAACAAATTCTTTTCAACAAGATTTAAGCAATAATCAATCTCAATCTTTTACTGAAGTTGATAATGAAGGTAATGCATACTTGTTAGAGATAAAATACAGAAAGAAAAAGAATCAAAGCATATCTCATGTAACGCTAACTATTTTTACCTAAATTTTTCAATCATTTATTCGAAGACACCTAAACTACAATTTGATTCTTCCATCGATAAGTTTTGAGAATCGACTAGAAATAAATAGTACCACTAGGAAGATTATAAAAACAATTGATAATGTTTCTCAAAAAAAAAAAATTTGTACTAGAAGATTAAAGTTGTTTTTCACGACAATCGATCACCATAGAAACGATTTGTCTTATTCGTTTCTGCATTTCGAACAGAGTTTTATTTCTTTTCTTACTGATGCTCTATTTTTTGTTTGCCTTGTTTCTTTTCATTTTTGTATTTTGTTTTTTCTTAATTGAACATTCCTTGACATTTTGAATATAAATTTTTATTTTCGCAAAAATCAAAAACTGCATTATTTAGAATATCGACAAATGTATTCCAGCTTTTCAAGTTTCGAGAAAAGCTTTAGAATGTTCTAGAACAGTCTAAGTTTTGTTGTTGATGCTGCTCAGTGCATTTTCCCGTTGCTAAAGAACTTTGGAAAATGAGTCTGATACTTGTTGTTCGAAAACATTATGAAAACATGTTCAATAACCTTTGACTCCCAGTTGCTAAGGTATGTAGGGCGAGGAAAATGGTTAAATCTCGACTGAAAACTTACATTCATTATAAAACATTATATTTTAATTTTAGAATCAATAAACTATAAAAAGCATTCTCGTGATAATTCGATTTCTCTGGAAGAAAACGATGAATATTCTCCTAGCTTTACTCTTCAATCTTTATGTCCATATGCCGAAAAAGATGGTTATTGTGAAGCATTAGAAACTGGACGTTATTGTCCATATATTCATGGTGATTTATGTGATCTTTGTGAAATGCCAGTATTACATCCAACAAATGAAAAACAACGCGAACAACATCGATTTGTACGAACAACTAATATAATTTTTAATCTTTTTATGAAAACAAAGATTTTTATTTTCTATAGGAATGTTTACGAAAACATGAAGCTGATTGTGAAGAAGCATTTGCAACACAACGTAGTCAAGATAAAAAATGTGGTGTTTGTCTTGAAACAGTTTGGGATCGTGATGGTGATAAACGTTTTGGTATATTAGAAAATTGTGATCATATTTTTTGTTTGGAATGTATAAGAAAATGGCGTTCATCATCAAATTATGAACATAAAATTGTTAAAGCTTGGTAAAAAAAAAAAGAAAAAGAATGTTTCTTATAAATTACCACAAAAAATTCATTTTTATTTTCAGTCCAGAATGTCGAGTAAAATCTGATTTTGTTACACCGACAAAGTATTGGCCAGAAAATGAGGAAGCAAAAAAAAATTTAATTCAAATTTATAAAGAAAATCTTCAGTAAATGAACAAGAATCTTAAATAACTTAACTTAAATACAACAGTAAATAAAAATTCTTCTTTTTTTTTTTTCTTATAGAAAAATTCATTGTAAATTTTTTAAACGTGGTGATGGTTTATGTCCATTCGGATCAAAATGCTTTTATTTACATGTTGATAAACAAGGACAACATGTTCAATTAGATCCACCGCGTCGTCGTCAACGATTTAATATACGTGAAGATTTAGAAAATTTGTCTGATGTTCTTATGTTATCGATTTTTTCACCATTTAGTGTTGGAAGAGTTTTTGATGAGTATGTTGAAAGTATTCATCTAATTAAAAAAGAAAAAAAAATTATTTCTTTTTAGATTGGATTTATTATTTGATGATGATGATATTGAATCATATGGATCTTATCTAACAGATGAAGATGATTTTCGTTTTGCTTATGAACATGATTAATTAAAAATGGTGAAAAATTTTGATTATCATATTAAAATTTATTTAATATTTAACTAAGACGATTTATGAAATATTATATTTATTTTACTCATGGATATATAGTCGATTTGTATGGAAATATTTGAATAACATTCGTATATGTATATTTGTGTGCGTGTGTGTGTGTGCTATTTAAGCTTTACTAACAGTATATAGCAGCGGATGTTTCTTCTTTTTCATTTTCCTTTTTGTAAATTAAATAAGAAATTATTGATGTTTAGAATTATTACGATTTTGTTTATCTTATATAGACATAATGAATATACGATTTTTGTTTTTAAAATGAAAATATATTTGTTTCTTAGGAATCAATGCGAAATTTTTAGTTTTTTTTTTAACAAGTTTGATATTATTTGATTCCTTTTGCAATATTCTTTATTGAAATTATGCAATCGTTTACAAAGAATTAATTTGAATCAGAATTTTGTGTTTACTCAGAAATTACTCTATTCAAAGCAAAAAGAAATAGTAATGTATTGAATGAAACCTACTTTATTTAATACATGAAATCTTTTTTTATTAAGTTGTCTTTCAGAGTATAATTTGTTTTACATAATTTGTTATTTATTTTTGTAAAACCCAATCTAAAAGGAACACTCTGCAAACCGTGACAGACGTCGTTAATTTGCGTTGATAGACAATATATAACAACAGTCTAATACAATATATTAACTACTTCGTTATTTTATTTCTGGACAATTAACTTAAAAGAGGGTGAAGAAATTTGTTCAAAGATAGACAGAATAAAACAATTTTTCTGCACATTTAGCAGCAACAACAACTATATCATATTTCATACTTTTATTTCACAGGAATTGTGCTAACAGCTTTTCTTTATCACGTGTAATAAAGACATATAATGCGTTACACGAGTTTCCAGAAGACTCAATGACTTTCTGGGAATCAAATGAATTTCCGAAACTCAAACGAAGGCACAGGAAAAAAAGTTTTTTTTTTGCCGATCCATGCAATTTTGGCTAATGAAATATGAAGTAGTAAGTCCACACATATACAAGCCGTCTCTCTTGATGTAGATGTCAAAAAAGGACTTACATCACATCTCTCTAAATGCCCATTTTGCTTGTTTCCTAATACAATGGAGAAAAGAATTTCTGGAAAACTAATCAAGGGCGTTGAATCTGATTCAGTGCCACTTTTCGTAACTTGGCTCAAAACTTTTTTTGGTTTGCTTGACAGCAGATGTGAATATCTCTCAGTTTTCACTTATGCTCTCCTATTTTTCTTTCTTTTCCTACATGTATTCTATCTTCCTTGATAAAATATTGTAAAAAATCAGCTTAAATTATTTGCTATCAATTCACTTTTATTCAATAAACCCACAACAATTATTATGTAGACAAAACCATTATACAAAAAAGTATATGTCTTTTTTTAATAAGTGTTCGAACTGCTTAATTCTCTAAAGATTTATCAAACATTCAAACTTGAAATCTTCATTTACTCATCAAATTGTATCAGTACTACTATTACTTAGTGGATTCCTTTGATCAATTCCTATAGATCTAACAAGTAAAATCTGAAATAGTATGAGGTTTGATTTTTATTTTATTTTATTTTATTTTGAAAAATTAAACAAAATAATTAGATTATTCAACGTCGTCAATATGAAATTGAACGTATTAGTCGTATGTATGATGAAAATCAAGATATTCGAAAACGACTTGCATTTGCTGAAGCTGCCAATGTTTTATTAAAAGATAAACAACATAAATTAATAAAATCTAAACAAGAAAATGAATGTTATATTAGTCAACATGATCTTGAACAAATAAAATCATATTCAATTCAAATAAAAAATTCTTCATTTGAAAAACAAGAGAACAAAAATAAATCAATTACAAAGTAGTCTATCAAAGAAAAATAAAAAGAAATTTTCTTCTTTTCAATATTCCAATCTTTTATGTCTTTTAGTTTTGAAATAATAAATGAGCCAAAGTTTATGATAAGTAATATTTTGAAAACTTATTCATGTCCATTAATTCAACCAAATGTATTTGGTATTACACTTGAACATAATATTCGTTTTGATTGTGATGGATCAACATATAATAAATCACATTTAACTAGACATTTAGAATATTATCATCGAATGTTACCTGAATGTGCACTTCGATTAAGAAATGCTATTGTTAATGGTCAATCATCATTGGATCAAATAAAATTATTTTCTGATAATGAAATTATTCTTGTAAGTTATTTTTAATTGTTTTTTTCTTTTGTTGTTAATGTTGAAAAACAAAACTTTTTTTAAATTTTTTTCTAGAATAAAGAATTTTTTAGTGATTGTACTTTAACAAATGCAACAAATATATTTGGTGCACAATCATCATTATCTATATTAATGCATATACCATGTACAAAAAAACAAATGGCATTAGCATCAATGATAAATCATTTTCAATATTATCATAAACTAAAATATAATGCTGCAAAAAAAATCTTTAATGCAATGAAAAATAAATCTCTTACATCTGATATTATTCTTTTTGAAACAAATGAACGTATTGGAGTAAAGTATAAAAAAAAGTAACTTCTTTGATTTATATAGAATATAATATATATCATTTTTAATATTGCAAAAAAAGATCATGATCAACATGTATTTACATTGTTAGTGTATTTTTTTGATGATTTCATTTCATTTTACTAACATTATAAACATGTATTGGAAAAGTTTTATGAATAAAGTTGTTCATGAACAATTACATAAGTTTTTATCATTTGAAAAATTATTATTCAATGTTCTTAGTAGAAGGACTCGGAAACATGTGAAAAATACACATATGAAAGAAGATCATGTAAATAAGATGAAGATTAATAGAAAACTAAAATAATATCTGTTAAAATTTTTGATCAGAACTATCTAAAAGTAATAGAAGACCTCTATTTAAATGTTATACAAAAAAGAACGTACTCATTATGATCAATATGTCTTTCAATCGAATGAAAGAAAATATAATTTGCATCTATTATTAATCTTTTATAGAATTTTAATTTTGGTATTGATTCATGTCTGATAAAATCTGAAAATCTTGTCTTCTTTAGATTAACAAATTTCTAATAAGAAGTTTATGTTTTGTTAAGATGATGTAATCGCATTGTTTGCGACCATTGACAGATATCTTAGTGAAGAGAATTTAAAGAAACAAAAAGAACTCGAAATAAAATATTGAAGTGAAGAAAACAGAAAAAAATATTTAACAAAGCATTGAAACAATAAAAAGTATATATAAAGACAAATATATGATGATTCAATCTGAGTCATTAGAGATATGATACTTATACAACAGAAAAAGA